GTGTGAATGTCACTCCAAAAATGACATGGCAATTTTATAATTACTATAACTTTATTTTGGAAACGACGCTTTTAAAACAGCAGACACGCTCTTGCAGTGTGTTCATAAAAGTAACATACTGTACAGCCATAAGACAATGTTAAAACAGACTTTTAATACAATAATATACGTTACACAATTACACAAGTTGAATATATCACAGATCCTGTATGTCATTTAACACTTACAGTTTATAACATTTACAGCAAAGCACAATTTATATATTGCCGCCAACTAACCTATACTATAATATTTATAAATAATAATAATCAAATTAATAACGTAAGATTTGTATAGGGCTCGCTCATATTCTAGTTTAAAGAGCAACAATCTATATACCCTATATACGGATTTTAATTACATTTTGATGTACATGTTTAATTTATGCTGGTCTTGCATATCATTTATTTGCAAAAATAACAGGAGCTCCTTAAGGGTCTATATGGCAGGATTGCCAAATTGAAGAATGCTCTCTCGGTTTATCGGCGAGGATTAAAGAACTGCTCAAAAATAGTAAATTATTACAGTATTTATAATGTGAAATTGGATATAAAGTAGTGAAATCATTAAAAAAAAATCTATAAAAAGAGTTGCATGAAATTCGACTGCTAAAAAGATTAAATGAAATTAGACTATACAGGAGGCCGCTAAGGGGTCATCCATAATTATCAACATGTTCAAAAGAGTACAAAACATACGCTTTAGGGGGAGGGGTTGAAAGTGTAGGCATAAGTACTCTTTTATGAAAAACATAAAATGTTGATCTCAAAATGACACAAATCAACATTTTATTGCGTACATTTTCGGGGGGGAGGGAGGGGGTAACAGAAAGGAGTATGTTTTGTACTCTTTTGAAAATGTTGATAATTATGGATGACTCCTAACTGTATTATACAGTACAATATTACAGTATACAGGAACGCACATCACGTTAGACACACAGAACGCGCATCGCGTTCGCGTATGACACAAAATGGCTTCAAAATTCTCAATGTCGGAACTCTTTCTATCTCTGGCTCTGTGAATAGAGGGAGAGGGGCGCCCTCAATGCAAGTATTGGGAGAAAACGGGAGAAAAGAAAGCAAAAAGTTGAAAAGAGAGAGATGTCGGATATCCATGAGAAAAATAGTAAAGCATTTTTACAAGCTATCGAAGCTATCCAAAGGCTTCGGGCGAGTGTTACCAATGTTTTTGATCAGTTGAAAGATGGCAAAAAGATGCCTACAGACGGCAACACAAAAGAACGTGCTTTCTTAAGCGAATTGCAAGCTGGGCTGATGCTGGTTACTACCGAATTTGAGTGAGTATCACGACGGGCTAGGGAGCATTTTTCCCGTGCGGGTTTGCATGCTAGGCATGGCATAGCATTTTTAGGCCTAAACTTTAGATTGTTTTTGGTAGGCAGTAATTTTTATATTAAATCAATGGAAATTACCTCCCTCAAGTTGCACTGCCGAGTAAACTAAAATCGTTGATCGTCTTTTTTAGTTTTCCCCGAAATTATAGCCTAGTTTATTTAGGCTAGTTTAGTTACGGGCATACGCATAGCCTACTACTCCTACCTAGAGGCCTGCAGTAAAGTACTTGTAGTAGTCTAGTTGGCTATTCAGCAATCCACCTTTTGCGTCTGATCCACATACCTGCCAACCCCTGGGCCATGAAAATCTGTAGATTTTTTTTTAAATCTTAAAAAACAAACTGGAGATTTACCAAAAAATCTGGAGATGATGCAATTTACATTTGCCGTATATGAAACTACACACTCCAGCAGTGCTGCCATGCTATCGAGCTGACCTGAAAAATCAGACAAGGCCGAAAGTTCACGAATAAAGAATAGACGTGTGTGTGGGACATGGTCAGTAGCTGCCATGGAAAAAATAGAAATAAGAATTAAAATTGAATTTAGGGTAGGCATATAGGCAATTCAGTACACTAACATCCTATTAATTATATTCATCAAAAGGCAATTTGAAAAGCAAGCATTGACGTTACCTAAATGGACTGAAGTACCACCACTTGGCAACACCAGTCTACTGTCCCTTGACCCAATAACTGACAGACTATCATTCTATCATGAAGCTCTAGAGGCCTACAAATGGTCTGATAAGGTAATGCTCTTGACACATATAGTGCCACCATTTTGTTGTATATTTGATATCAAATTTACATGCTCTGCTTCATGGCCTGTGCATGTTAGATATAGCTACGGTAATTATTGTCTTTTATAGGATCCGGCAACATTGCTGTTCAATTATTGTTCCTTTTTTTCTGTATAGTTATTCCTATTTGTGCAAATTCAAATGGATCAAGCAATCTGGATGTTTGTAGTATTAATCTTGTTAACAATGTCAGTCTATGATTCTGAATAACAGTTTGTAGAATCTGGAAGACGTAAAGCAGAGGAAACAAATAAAAAAAAAACACCAGCAGAACATGTTTCAAGTAAATGAGAGTATCATTTTTTTTTTCTCAATTTCAGATGCGTGAACACAGCAATTTGTCTGCATTGCTTTTGAGCCAGAGTATAAGCAAGCGTTCATCTAGTGTAGGACCACACTCCAACAAGAGGAAAAGACCTCCAATCACAAGTCACGCCATTGCCCCTGAGTAAGTTTTGCTGCAGAAAATGTCCCAGCTAAGTTTTATGCATTATCATGTACACCTCGGTTTCCATAAAATCGCTACATTCTACCCCAATAGCTTTTGTCAATGCTAAATGTTTGATCGCATCAGAGAGTGGTGAAAAAACTGTAGCAACATTGTAGCAATTTTATGGAAAACAGATTTTAGGCACGTGAAAATTTGGGCTTCCAATTTAAAGATGGGAGGCCAAGAAGGAGTTATGTGTTCCATAATTATTAGGGACTGTTTTTTATTCAACTTTAGGCACAAATCCAAAAATAGCGAACAAGTCACATACACAAGTAATGTTCTGTATATACTGTATTATAATAATAATAATATTTATTCGGCAGAGTAAAAAGTATACATACAATATTCTTGCCAGGAGTAAGTAATAGGCATAAGCCCAAACAGTAAGCTGCTCTTACTCCATCATCAAAAACAAATACAATGACAATACAATATAAATATATACAAAAAAGTAAATTCAAAATAAATTGATTTAACTAAAACAAAATGAAAAACAGAGATAATTAATAGTTATTATTAGTATTAATATTTTGAGAGTGTTTTGTATTATACAGTACTGAGCCTCATTATGAGGATTTGGGAAGGGGGTTTTTTTGCTTTACCCTAATTTTGTCACACCCTACAAGGCAGCATTGCAGACATAACTTGCCACTACTTGCTATTGATCTATCAAAGGAGGCAAATGGTATTCAGTATGGAATATACAAATATCTATATTCTTGGTTTTGTTTTTTCCAGTGTGGTTGATGCTATCACATTAAGTATAGACCAGCACTTTACAGATTTAACAATACAAAGGATACAAGTGTCTCCATATGTTCTTCAGGTAAGGAAACACATTATTTCTCCTTTATTTTACTAATATGTATTATGAGAGGTTCTACAAAATAGTACTCAAAATTATATTTTGACTTTGACTTAATTTAATGATTATCTCAATATCACTTCACCAATGATGCATCTCATTTTGTGGAGACACTTTAAGTACAAATATATGGTCGTTTGCATTCCTTTTTAACTCAAATTGACTTCATTGTACTCATATTATTGCAATTTTATTTCAGGTAACATTAAGTAGAACTTTCCAAGCTATCATTGTGCTTCGTGGTTTGTTGATAGAAAGGGTTATCGTCAAGGCAACACATGAGAATGTCACTAGAGAAGACGGCTCTGTAAGTAACAAATATATTATGAGATATATGTCCTATTATCCTTACATACTACACATTTTTTTAATTAGTCAGTGGTGAACAAATGTAATAAAGTACATTACTGTACCTCAAAAAAAGTTTACAGCAAATGCTTTCTTTTTCAGCCTGATTGCTGGACACCATCCAAGTATCTTGTTTTTCAAAAGGTAATATTTTGTTAGATTTATACATTGTACATGTTGATGTAATTTATTTATTACATTTATACATTATTGTCACTATCTGTGACAATAATGTTATCTTTCAACTGAGGTATAATCATAGTGATATAAGAATACTAGAGCGCTAACCGCAATGTATTCAATGTTCGAAATATGCAGAACTGTGTGTGTGTACCATCCAAGATGGCTGCCATAGATTTAGCCAATCAAATTTCGCTAAGCACCATCATTTGCAATTGCGCCCTCAATTTATTTAGAAAGTTCAGTACAGCTAGTTACCAATAGTTTAATAATTTGTTATTACCATTACTCATTATCATTAATCATTAATCATTTATCTATCATTAATGTCATATCTCAATTAATCATTACTACGACGGCCATCTTGGATGGTACACATACATAACTCTGCATTGCTGCGCCATCTTGTCAGCACTCTAGTTGTTTAATAGCTCTATGGGTATAATAGAGTGATAATTTGTACCTAGTATGTTGTTGTTATTATATTACAATTTTCGATTTTTTTGTCATTTCTATTTAATTTTTAGATCACAGACCATGTGACAGCAACAATGTTGCATTATCATTATCCAAACTCTCCAGAAATTGCTCTCAAACAGTTTATGGTAGGATATGGATACTCAAATTTGAATTTATAAATGTTGCTTTATTATGTCCTTTGGTACCTCTGTAACATCAGTAGTTGCTCACTATAAGTCAGCAATAATAATGATATAAATAATAATAAAGAACTCCCACCACTCCCATATATGCTTTGCCTATTACAATCTGATACGCAACCTTCATTGTTGATTTTAAGGCAGGTTTAAAAACTCACCTTTTTGTACTGTACTTTTCTTGAATTTTTTCTTCCGGCATATTTATATTTATTTTTAAGCACATTAAGGGTTTACCCTAAGCCAAAACTATCATTATATATTGCATTTCAAGAAATATCCGTGCTTCTTAACAATCAGCCACACACATACACTACTACCAGAATTATTCTTACAACCAAAACAACTCATTTCACACCTAGTGCAAAGCTAGCGGTGTAGACATCAAATTAGCCTAAATGTGAGGTCTTGCCACAAAATGAGTCTCATGGTTAGAAATTCAAAAATTGAGTTTATATTATATTTGGGTAGATCACATTATAAGCTTTCATTTGGTCTTTGAATGGCTTCCCTAATATAAGTGAATCCAGAGATGTGAGCATTTAAACTTTAGGTGTATAAAAACCACGTTTTGAGAAAATCGGCCTCAAGATAAACTAACCTGTACAAATATAATGACTAGAATTACAGAATATATGCAGAGAACACTGTTTTGGCAAGAAAATTCACTTACAAGGTATACAATCATAAAATATAAGTATCAAGTTATTCAAAAACATTAAAATCAAAAGTTTGTAAATATGTTGACTTCGGCCTGTTTTAGTGAATATCTCAATATGATTTCACCAACGATGCATCTCATTTCGTGGTGAGACCTCACAAATATCCAAAACATTTTATGTAACAGTGAAATGACAATCTGTTTTCAAGTGCTTTTTTGTGATCATTTTTTTTATAATTTCTCTACAGAACTGGTTAAGGAGTTACAACAAATTGTTTTCTACACCCTGTAAGAGGTGTGGCAAATACCTTCAAGACAACTTGCCCCCAACTCACCGCGACCTCAGAAAGCATGAGCCGTACCACGAGTCCTGCAGATGAGACTGGCCGCCACTGAAGCCTTTGCCTTCTTAAAGTGGCACAGTTTGCAGTACTTTTGCACACATTGTCTTTAAAAATTGTTGACGTATAAGTAGTTCTGCCAAACCAACAGCAGCTTTTGTCATGAACTTTAATACTTTAACTAGTGGAGCTCTTGGTAATTAATGCTTGCCTTTCAACCCATAGTCCCTATTTCAAGTTTTTTCTAATGACAAAAACATAACTCGACTCTCACAATAAGACTGTGTAGAGCCCGGGTATTTAACCTTTTTAAGCTGGTGGCCAGTTCCAATCCGTTGTGACCAGTGGCGGGCCGACATAAAATGTGTATTTTCATATTTTTCAATGTCAGGGGTGTACAGAATCACATGTGTATGTTACCTAAATGAATGAAATATATTAATAAAAATTATTATATACCGATATCTAGATTCCAGGCATTTGATTGGTTAAAAGCGGGGCAATAGTTCCAGCGGTATATAAAATAAGTATTTACTTGGTTTACTGGGTAGTTGTAATTGGACCATAGTTCAAAATATAGCCCTCGGTGATCTGGAGGCTGTACTGTTGAACTATGCCCTTCAACCCAGTAAATATTTTTATAATATACATTTTGGATTGTCACATTTAGAATACATATTTCTTAAGAAAGTATTTTTTGTATACTATTTCTACAAGATGTAACTATTAGTAAAAGCGTGTACAGAACTATTTAAAATTTATTTTCAGAATGCTAAATGGCAGTCTTCTTTGTTGTTGTGTTTTTTTTTTTTAACTTTATTGCAGAAGGATAAACAACAATGGCAACATTTAAAATGACCTAAAGGCAATTTAACAAAAATATGTTTGAAAAACATAAGACCACTGAAACCATTTAAAATAAAAAGATTTTAAAATTAATTTTAAATTTAAGTATTCAGACATAATGTAGAATGCATAGACAGTAAGAAAAGATAGTTTTGTATATCACAAGTTTAGGGGGTTTTCAAAATAATAGGATGGTGGTGTAGACAAAATGTCTTGTAATTTGAATAGTTGACTGCAGTTCTACAAAGGTCCTACATAACATCTTCAAAGTTTGTGTATGATATAACAGGTCTAGATTGCTTAAGGAAGTCTGTCACCTAAAAAAAAAAAAATCAATTCCATTTTAGTTATTAAAGCTGTTAACTTTCAATCAAAAAAATGTTTGTGATAAAATTTCTCCATCACTTAATGGACAGTTAAATAATACATTTTCATTTTTCATACCTATCAGACCATATTTTCTACAAAAATTCTTAAATTGAATACCCTCCATTTTAAGGATTTTTGGTTCCTATGTGTATGTATGTATGTATGTAAGATGTATGTTGCGCTGTTTTTTGTAAACAGGCAAAAGTGACTTTCCAGATATCTGTTCGTTATGAACATCCATACCAAAGCAAAACTGGATATGATGTTGTGCCCTATTTAATAATTTTCTATTTTGATAAATATTAAAGTCATAACTAATGAAAGACTATACCCCCTACCCTGGGAAAGACTAGTAAACTCTATGATAAGAGGAAAACATTTATGGAATGTTATTTACTTTCGTTGTCCAACTAACTGTCTTTAATATGATGGATTGGACTCTAGGGACTTTCCTGGGTATGGACAGAAAACTTTATCTATAAGCTTCAATTTTATACCTGATATACTGTAGTATAGATAAGGTTCTACAGATACAACATAGAATTGCATTGTGGTTTGATGAAAATAAACTTGATACTTGACAGGATAATCCATTTACAGTTTCTATCGGAAGCTAGACTATGTGTGTACAGTACGGTATAATGAAACCATTGTTGGCTCCGACCCATAGTTAATGTAGGGGCCCCACCAGACAGGGCAAGTCCCCTTCCCCCATCAAACAAAGCTTTTCGGGCAGTTAGACTAAAAAAAATAATATAAGAATAGGCACATGCTAAGCCAACACATACAGTATATGTCACAGTCTGAGTGTCATTTCCGGTCATCCAGAGGTTCATATTCTTAAAAAAAATCTCATTTGGAAGGCGAACACCTTCACAAAATCTTCCACAAGCTCCTGCCCACGAGCTTTAGTCCCCCTATCGGACAGCTCGGCCCCCCCAGAAAATATATCCAGCCGCCACAGCTATTACACCATTTTATCATTGGCACTAAATAAGCAAAAAACGAAAAAAAGTGATGCCAGGATTAATAATAATAATGATAATAATTTTGGCTGAAATAGCGCATTAATCTAAAGCCTCAATAAAAATAAAACTGCCGGATTAACACTTGAGGTCTCACTGGTTTCGTTTGTTGCTATGTTTACATCATCGCAATTAAGAAGTGCAATAGAATGACCGCATAGGAACTTGGCCCTAGCAGAGGTCTGGTTGGTAGAAAACATCTGTAAATCAGCAGCAATTTTTTTTTCTCAATCTGTTACTGGTTTGATGTAAATCAACTATACAAAATTTTGATTGATTTTTTTAGGTAGGCCTATTTGCTGACTTCTTTTGCAGACAGTGTTTCTTAATACAGGGAGCCATACTTTTATAGATATTTTACATCAATAAAAGATTTTCCATTGTCTAAGCTTTGTGGTACAGTCGATTTTATAACCATTGAGGGATTTTTCCTACAATATATGGTGGAGCCAGAAGCCCGACTGTATATCAGAAGGAATTTTTATTGATTTATTCAATATGATCTTTAAAATATAACCCTAGCATTGCGAAAGAGACAGTTAGCATTTTCATAAGGGTCCCTAAAAATGATGTGTGAATGTAAAACAAAGAAGTGAGTATAAAAAAATTATTAGATGTGTATAAGAGACAGAAATAATACATTTTCATTTTTCATA